AACTTTAGATATAACTTTGTTCCTGCACACCAACACAGGCAGGCAGAATCCTGTCAGAGTTCTAGCCGTGTAAGGGTCATGGTAACCTCAGGTGTTCACTCCAAATGAACGAATGAGCTACTGCTTAGAACAAACAAGTGTTCATACTTTAAGATTACCTACACAGAGATTTGCCTTTGGTAATATATAACCAGTTTTTTTACAATATTTATGCAGAGTTGATACAGTGCAGGCACAAGTATAGCTTCCTAAAACACACACTAATTACAGTCTTCGTTCAGTGCAAAATTACATAAGTAAGAAATCTGAATTGAAATCTGCTTTCTGTGGATAATATACAGTAGATATTTTCACTTGACCTTACTCATATGCTGTATTGTTCTGCCTGGACTGTTTAGTCACTCTAGGCTTAGGAAAAATGATTGGAATCTACCTAAAAACAACCATCATTCCTAGGCTATGGATAGCATTTGCACAACAAAACATTCTAGATTCTTATTCTGTTATGTCTTCCTTATGCTATCCTCATTGATGGTGCACATTTTTAAAGAGAGGTTATGTTGACGCAGCTGCATTATTCAGCATGCTGGTGTGAACTCATTTCTCAGTGACACTCTGACATGTATTTCAAAAATTCGGTGGCATAAATGCAAAAATATGATGACAGTGCTATGAATAACATTTTAACCAGACTGATGTTAAGTGACAAGCAGTATCTGTGCTTCACTCCAGCATTGTCATGTCAGTCCTTCAGTACATCCTTACAGTGGTAGTTGCTTGATGACTCAGATGTGAACTTTCCATGTGGAAACTTTTCAAATGTACGGTTTAAGTAATAGTATACCACTATATATCCATTTTTTAGTTGGGTGCTTTTTAATACCAAAGTAATTTCTTCAGTTTGTACCATGCACAGTTGCACATAAACAACAACCTGGCAGGTTGTGCGACCCTTAATGTGACGTATGTTACTATGGAAGTGTAATAAGTACATATATATACTGGCTTAGCTGAAGGCGTTCTATTTTAATCTTAACTACTGTCACTAGATTTAAACTTCTTTTTTTTTTTTTATGGTTCTTTTTCAGGCTCTTATTTTTTTTTCTTGTTTTTACTGAATAATTTCACAGCTTCAGCTGAAACTGAAGAGGGCACTGCCATTTAGATTACCTAACTCAACAGTCACCTATATATTGAACCAAAACACTCAACTCCATATAGCATGGTATGTTCTATTAAATATAGTGATAGCAGTGTGGAACACTGGACCACTTATTCTGAGTATTGATTGAAGGGTATTGTCTGATATAAGGGAATTCCATTTAGGCAGCTCTCCGGAGAGTGCTATGTGCTTTAAAAATTAATGGAGTGCCAAGCACAAGGGATAAATGGGTCCAGAATAAATGTTATATAGGAAATATTAAATGTTATATAATATATAGTAAAACCATCCCAACACAGTTTGGCTTTTCATCAGAGCTGAAAATGATTTATTTTAATATATTTGTAGCAATGTGTCCTGGAAAACAACAGATTCCTTACCCTAAAGTTGTTTGATTTGCATGTGCCATTTCAAATGCTTGTTAATCCTAAGGCTGTCCATGTATGGGCAGGCATTTAACCAGGAGAATGGGCGTTGTAAGATCTGCCTGGAACAGTGACATATAGATCCATTTGTGTGGGGAGAGGTTTGTTCCCTTTTTTCCCTAGGAATGATTTGAGGATGATGGGATTATTAACCAAGCCATTGTCCATCACAAGCATCCATATCTTGGTCGTCTGGGCAGATCTTTTGTTTCTGGTGAGATATTTGCACGCTATGGTCACCACAAGATTTTCAAGAAGTACTGTGAAAAGTGTCAGTGTCATACTGTTTATTATTGCTGTATGACTCCTAGACATCCCAATGGTTGCCTCATTTTCTAGTGAACACGCTACCTTAAAATGAACTAATCATGGAGATATTTCAACTTTGCAGGTGTATCACAGAGAGATTATACCCAATATTATGACCACATCTGTAAACAAAAAGATGACATCCAAAGAGCAATACTGAAATTCTTCAAAAAAAACATCCAGTACAATTTCTTTGATGAAGACTGTGAGTAGTTAATCCCAACCCGTCAGCATTACTAACCATGTGTTGTCAATCAAAATGTTGCGTTTGGTGTATTGCAAATGTTAGTTCTGTGGAGGTTTTAAAAATGGAAGTGTTAATGGTTGCTAAAACTGGGGGATATGGAGACAAATGAAATATAATATTCTAATATCCCTGATCAAAGTACTGCTTGATGAGGGTGCGCATCTATTTCTTTACTATTTCTGTCACTGGATATTTAAACATTGGTGGTTAACAGAAGATAAATGGCCCCACTGACAAGCTAAATATGCTTGACCTTTCAAACTTTTTATTTTTTATAAATGAGTCTTTTTTTAATAAACCTTTACCAACCTCGATGTTAGCTGAGTTTAATCACTTCATCTCTCACACTTGTATACCCCCTTATGAACTAGAACAATTTTTTAAGTTTCTGCTAAAAATCTGTTTATTCTGCAACAACTTTATTACTTAAAATAACAAAGTAACACAATTTATTTTTTTAGGAAAAACAGGGATTTCTTTTGGTAATGGAAAAATGATTTTATAGACACTTTTAAGACATGTTAAAAACAAAACTTTAAAAAACACGCTTTTTTTCTAATTTGATCGCTGTTACTGTGTAGATTGTCCTGTTTTTAATGATAAAACTATGTTTCTGCTATGAAGGCTTGGCAAAAGCTTTTCTATTTTTCAATTTTGCACATTTTGCTAATGCAACACTAAAAAAACTGACAAATGGAATAAAAACAAAAAACAAATTGGCACACAAAAAAAACGAAGTGGGTAAAGTTTATTAGGGATGATTAGCTTTAATAAGGGGTTAAATGGGAACAAATCTTTGGGGGGAAAAAACCCATACACAGATCAAAGCTCATCCCTTTTGATATGCAGATAAATGAAACACATTAAAAACAAAGTAACAATAATTTTACTTTGTATCTCTGAATCACCCTACTGAAGGTCTGTTTTTGACAGCAGTGACTAGAGCCATCGGCTGTATTTACATTCCAAGTCCCTGCTGTCATTTTGACAACTGGGAATAGCTGGTAAATGTGGTGTGAGGATGCGCAGGGGAAAGTGGTGGGGAGGAAGGGTGGGGGGGAAGGGAACGCAGGAAGCATATGGCATACTATGTTTTTTTGGGTGTACATAGCAGACCAAAGGTACAAGACTGGTTAAATTTATATCTGTGGTAAAAAAAAAGTCAGAGTGTAAAGTAATGGTATTTAGCAAGGCACTACGTTAGTCGACATTGAGGATATGTGGCTTAGACTGTTATGCGATTTTATTAACTAAGAAGAATTGTTTCTAGATCAATTTTACCATTTTTTGTCCACAGTGCACTGTACTTTGCTAAAAACAAGAGATAAGGTTAGGTTTGTGGGGATCACTGAAAATGAGTTCCTTGTACAGTAACTATAAGCTGCTAAGCCTCTACTGGAATGTGGCTTGTTGTAACCAACCAGAAAAAGAACAGTGCTTTTCCAAAATAAATGCAAATTACAAATTCTGCTTCATTCTTGGGCCTTGGACAGCTTTGTATTTTAACACGTCTTAATTTACCTCATTTATTGCAGAACAAATTGGTTATATAAAAATCTTTATCTTTGCCTATTTCTGGTTCAAGCAGTACAGATCAAGGGGGAATACTGTATTATTACATAGTATTTATATAGCGCCAACAGTTTGCGCAGCGCTTTACAATGTAAGGAAGACATTACAATTCAAGACAAGATGGTAAGGAGGGCCCTGCCCCTGAGGGCTTACAATCTGAAAGAGGAGGGGGAAATGATACATGAGGAGGTAGCTAAGAATCAGCTTTATATTGAATGTAAATAATATTTAATGTCTTTAATATCTACTGTAACCAAAGTGATACCCAAGTCTTAGGAAAAAAGAAGTGCACCAGGGCTTTAAAAAAAAAAAATGAAGTTTTAGTTTGTTTTGATTTATAACTTCTATGTATATCACCCTACATTTGCCAAAACGCAGCTATTATTAAATCCTGCACTAGGTCCTTTAGTTGATATTTGCTAAACATGCTAGCATCTCTGACCTTTTTCTTACCTAAGCTAAACCATTTATTGTGTGAAGTATAGAGATTTAAATATTCTCCCGGCAAGCACACAGTTTCTAAAATAACTTCTATGTATATCACAGGTACTGTACATTTTAACAGCTTTTTTTGTTGTTGTTTTATAGTTGTTTTTGACATGTACAGAGACAGTGAGGTAAGTGAAATGTATCTTCTTGAACCTGAAGTGTGAAGAACCCTTAGTGGCTTGATAAATGCGTTTGTTAAACTGAGAATTTTCTTTTATTATTGATAATTGTGTTTTAAAATGTATTTGTATTTTTAAGTAATGTGATGCAGCACTGATAAAATTGCTTTATATGGGAACAGTATTGGCAGAACAAATGGCAAGAAAATATGTTTGTTTCATGATTTTAGGTGCAGTGTAATGAAACAATCCCCATATGCTTTCCCATATACATGTTTGGGGAGAGAAGCAGTACTGATATGAAAAAAAAGCACATCACTGGCCCTAAAAATTAGCTCATGAGAATACTTTAAGGCAGTGGTTCTCAACCTGTGTAACCTCGGGACCCAAATTTGTCCTCGGTCATTAAGTCGCGACCCAAGTCGCACTGCAATGTTCCATGTTGCTGTACTGCGCTTTCCGGTGCAGGCAATCGAACTGTGGGTGGGAGGTGCGTTTGGGTTGCCATTACGGAAATTGGCAGTGGATCCTCAACCTGGGGTCCAGTGTGGTCTGCTGTGCTGTGATGGTGCCCCATCCATATGTGTATTGCTTGTAAAGCTCCCGTGCGCGCCCTGGAGATGTGTCGGGAGCCAGAACGTGATGACCTGTAAGCAATGCACGTATGGATGGAGCTCCCTTGCGGCCATAGCCCCACCTCAAGTCGACACTCAGCATCATATTTTTGAAAGGCTGCTCGGTGCGAGAACTGACCGTGCTTCTCTAGGGGAAGGCATGTGGCGACCCACTGGACATGGGGGCGCGACCCACTTTTGGGTCACGACCCACCAGTTGAGAACCAAGGCTTTAAGGCCTCATTTATCAAGCTACAATAGCATTTTAAAGGAAAACTATGATTTTTTTTTTTTCTCAATTCTTTGACTTCACAAACAATGGAAAGACACAGAATGAGCTCCATCACAGTGGAGCAAAGCCTTATTGGAGCGATCCAGAGATATCAGATGGGATATTGGCGGCCAGTCAGAGTTATTACAGAAATGTGAACCCCAGTACCTACTCTCTGACCGAAGGGTTTTAAAAGGTCAATCCAAGTAGCCTGGGGATAAGTCAGGCTTTCCCACTATCGGGAAAAGAGGGGAGAGGGTAAAGGAGAGGTCAGATTTCTGAAGAGTATTCCTTCGTGCAATCAGTGTTTGACCAATTGCTGGGTGAGAGTTTAGAGGGCTTGGGATAGGAAGAGGGCACCATGGCAATCTGCTCGGGGGAAGTGCTGAATTAGACTGTTTCAACTTTACCCACAGTTTGCTCGACTCTTGTCTATCCAGTCCACCACTCTTGGAAAATAGCTCAGAGGTATATGTATTGGCAAAGATGAGATCATCATTTCGATGATATTGCCATGACCAAACCAAGTAAGTTGCCCATGTTCCATTTGTTTGCACTTTCTGTAGCAAGGGAAGAAAATTCAGTGCATACGTTTCCTGTATATTTGATGGGATTAGAGTACCATTGGATGGCAGTTTTGGCCCATTTAATAGATAAGTTAGCTCTTTAACCTCCAGAGCTTACCCAGGAAGAAGGCTAATTGGAGGACTTCTGAAAGTTTGTTTAGATTAGACTGCTTGCCATATATTTTTAAATTGTTTCGTAAATTGGGAAGGGAGATCTCAGAGTTTGTGGGAAAGAAAAGCATGTCACCTGCATAAGTAGAGATTTTATATTCCGTCTCATTAGTGCGGAGGCCCTTGATCTCCAGGTGTTTCTGATAGAGCAGAAGAATGGTTTTAGGGAGGGTATGAAGAGCAGGGGGAATAGGGGGCGTCTCTGACAGGTGACGCTTTGAGATGTTGAAAGCGTCCATTAAAAAAATTCCATTGACTTTTACCTGGACTGTAGGGTAAGAATAAAAATCTCTGAACCAACTCAGCATTGAGCTGCCTGGGCCAATAAGTTGAAAAAGGAGTTCAGTTCACTGTATGCTAACTTTCTTCCTAAAATGCAAATGTTACTGATTTTCTAAAGGTTATAGGATATGTTGGGAAGGATGCTAAAATCACATGGGTGGCTGATATTAAACATGGTTCTGCGAAAGTGTCTATTATAGATTCAGTCCCCTTATTTCCAATTATATATTCCTTTCTGGGAGTCAGTTACTTGTGTAAAGCCGACTGTCAGCTTTACACTGCAAGTGATCTGGGTGGCTGTGAAAGGATTAAACATAGGTAACTAGTGATGGTTCAACTATTTGTCCCTTTTTTTTATTTATTGTGCACTATAGTGGAAGTTCTTAGTTCTGCCTTTGTTTACTATGAAGTCTTTCTAAAGGGATCTAAATCTAAAGGGATCCATGTTTTCAGGGGAAAGTTTGGCTAATTGACTTTAACCCATTTGGAGAAGTAACGGACTCATTGCTGTTCAGCTGGGACGAACTGACTAAAGGAGCAAATCCAGGAGATGAAGAAAACGCTGATCAGGTAAGCAAAGGTTTGAGAGGTTTAAGGACCCCACAGAATATATTGTATCATAAATGTCGGTTTCTTAGTTAATATGCTTTGTTTCAGCTTTCTGGAGAAAAACCTTTACGCCTAACTTGTTTTGGGTGGGTTGAAGGGTTGGACCTCTGCCAGCCTTTATTTGCCATCTGTGCCCCCATGAGAGAGATTATATTTAATTTCCTGTCCAGGTGTGGATGGGTGTCAGAAAGAATAGGATGAGAAAATAGATCACATTTATGGCTAGGGTTCAAAACCCTTAAGATGCAACCCAAAGCAGGAGCACAAGAATGTTCACGGTGCTGGCAAAGCTCTTCCACCACCACCACTTCTTGTGATATAACAATAGTATTCAGCTTTCATACATTTTACTATATAAACAGGAGGAGGGGCTCTAGGCGCTGGCACTGTCTTTATAAATAATGCAGCATCTTTATCCTGGTTTGTTAGCTTTGTGAGTTGAGCCTATGGAGTCCTGTAAAAAATTAGAGCTGATTTTGCGTCTTGTCCTTTTAACAGGTTGAGCACCACTGCCCTCCCAGAGCAAACACTGTGTTTAGAATGGCCTCAGTTGGGGGCAGGATTTAAAAGCTGACAGTAGGTCATCCAAATTAACAGAAGTAAATAAAAAAACTAAACTTGGTTGGAGTTGGTTTTTAACATCTCGAATGTTCGTTTTCAGGTAGTTTCCCATGAACACCAGTAACGGTCAGTTAACTGTCATAGCATGACTTTTAGATTTCCTACCACATTTTATGCAACTCCTAAACCAAACCTTCCCATTATAAAGGCTGTAAAACAACAGCACTATTATAAAGCAGACTGCTTAAGGTACCTCCCAGTGCCTTTAAACACCTTCTCAAACACTTAAGAACTCCCAAAATTCAGGATGCTCTAATGTGCAAATCTTTCTTTCTCGCTCATTAGGGACACAGTTAAGGGTGAAGTAGTGGGGGGGGGTATTAAAGTGCCACTGACCACTAATGGTTGTGGAATTGTTTTGGGGTGGAGTTAAAGTATCACTTTGCACCAGTGGTTGTGAGATTTGTTTTGGGGGGTGGGGGGAATAGGTTCAACTGACCACCA